TCTGCATTGAAAAGCCCAAAGTAATTGCAGCTTAAAAACTATAATTAATAATATATAAAGCACTTATTATGAGGCCTCTCTCTCTCTCTCTCTCTCTCTATCAGTGAATATGCAAAATTGTTCCGTGTAATCTGCATGTAAATGAATTTATTTTTGTTTTAATCTTTGCCTTGCCTGGCTTTTCTTTGTGTGGGATTTAAGAGATTTTTACGAGTAAAGCTAAAATTAAAATTATGCGAGTGAAACGGGGACAGTAAATTAATCATTTTTTGCTTTAAAAATTGTATAATTATTTATTTTTAAATTTCTTCTTGGACTCCCATTGCTCTCGATTGGCCTAAACCGGATCACAAGCACATTCTCCACCATTTCCACATGTCGCCTAATGTCTCTTGGCTTTTATTCTTAATTCCGCTTAAGCATTTTGCCATTATAACTGATTTATCTTGATTTTCATCTAATTGCGAGTTTAATTTCGCCTCATTATTTATGATGGCTCTGGCCTGGCCCGTTTGTTTTAGATTTTCTCTTTAGTCCATCGCCTAACCCAACTCATTCCCAAGCTCATTTCAGCTACTTCCGCTGGCGAGGTGGCCAAGTTCCGTCAGATGCCAGTTACCAAACGCTGAGAGTCCATAGTGCGGACCCAGAACGGATGCAATTCGCTTCCTGTGCGTCGGCACTTGGGCGCCTCTCATTTGGCCCAATCAAACGCTGGTCTCCCCAGAGATGACAACTTTTTCAAATGCCCTTTCAAAGGAGTCACTTGACTTTAGGTACATAAATAAATTACAAAAAAGTAATGTAATCTTTACTTGAAATAAAACAGGAAATGTTTAGAAGATGAGTTTAGTTTTCTATTTATTTTTAGCTAAGAAATAAACTAAAAATGTTCTTTAAACTATCATGATTTCTGCACCTCTTAAATAAATAAAATAAAACTATATAAAAAAGGAATTTCTTACGGAAGTGCTTCTTAAATCTTTTAAAATTATGTCTTATCTTAAAAAATGATCTTAATATTTTCTAGACCTAAAACCAAATTCTCCATTAAATTCTTGAGGGTATTAAGTGGCTTCCCATAATCAAAGCTTGGCCCTTGCAATTGCTTAGTCCAAAGGAAATGCATAATTTTGAAGCAAAGATTCCTTTAAAAATTGTTCCTTAATCGAGCTTACATTGAGTGAGACTGTGCGTGTGTAATGGGACTGTGTGTGTGTGTGTGCGTGTGGTTGTGGGGAAGTCTGGAACCCTTTAACCCTCAGGCTGTTTGCCCCCTTCCTCTTCCTGTTATTCTCCAGCCGGCTAAAGAGTATCTTCAAGATGCACAAAAATGCATTCTTTGTGCTCCGATTGCAGCGGTGTGCGAGTGTGTGTTGTGTGTGTGTGTGTTTGCACCCCTTTGGCTGTTTGCATTGCGTCAGCCCGTTGCATTTTAATTTTAGAATATATTTTTGGGTCTGGATTGCAACTGAACTTCAGCTCAGCTTTCAATGCTCATGCATGCCGTGCGTTTCATTATATGCGGTGGTTTTTCTTGCTTGTTTTTTTCACTCCTGAGTGTGTGTGTGCGTTTGCCTGCTGCATTTTTCATTATGCAAAAATTGCATACCATTTTTTTTTTTGGGAACTTTTTCACCGATTTTTGTTTTCTTGCTTGGGTTTTTTGTACTTTTTTTATGTTTTTCGAAATGCATTCAACGCAAATTGCACGTTTTGGTTCGTGCATCTTTTGTGCCAGAATGCAACTGCTTTTTGGGGTGGATTTTTGCAGTGTCTCTCTCCCTTACCCTTACCCTCACCCTCACCCTTACCCCTTTCCCTTTTCACAACTTTTTCGGGGGTTTTTGTCGCATTTGCTTACGTGGTTTTAATTTTAATTGCTTGTCGTCATCGTCACTGCTTTTTCCCATTTCATATTTTCGTTGCAGTCGCTTTTTGTTTTTCGCTTTTTTTACGATTTCGGGTCGTGTGCATGTTGTCGCCGATTTTATCTTTTGTAAATACAGCAATTATATATGTTCCTTGATGGCGACATTATGTTTTGAAGCTCTGTATTTTTTTCGACTCTCCTTTTTTTTCGGGCATACTTGTGACGAGTGGTTGAGTGTTTGCGGATGTGGGCATTGGTTTTTTATATACATTTTTTTTTGTATGAGAAAAGGGCTTGGGAAGAGTTCGAAACTCAAAGGATAATTATGCGAGGAGGACTCACTTTGCCTGTTTTTTTTTTCTCATTTGCCGGAAGATGCAATTTAAAGTGGGTTTCTTTTTTTAAGGTCCTTGACGGTGTATTTTTTGCTTTTACTTGGTTCAGGTGATTAACGTTTAATTTTTTTTAGGAAATTTATGGGTTTTAAAAATGATCTTAACATAAAAATAAAATTATAAAATAAATAAACATGGAAAACAGTTATTAAGTAATTTTTTATTAGGGGTATATCAATATTTAGGTCATTTTTAATAAGCAAAGCATTTAGAAATATAGAATATTTTATTAAACATTTTTATAACTACTATAAAGGTTGAAAATTATAAAAAATATGTATTTAAAACTCTTTATTTATATATTTTGAAATCCTTATACCTCATCCCTCCCAAACACACCTTTCCCACCTCAAAAAACCCCCCAAAACTAACCTCTCCACAGCCACAAAATGTCAGATCTAAGCTCACAGCTGGCCAAGGTCAGTTGTGAGCTCAATTAAATGCACAAATATTTCGCTTATTAGAAAAACATTCGAAAAAAACAACAATTCTGCCACAGCGCATAAAAACCAAAACAAATTATACAAAAACAAAAAAGAAAAAAAAGAAAAAACTACACTAAACAATTACTATTTTTATTATACACGAATTTTGTTTCTTTCATTTACAATCATGCAAACACACAAACAGAAAAAAAGGCAGCACAGCAAAAAATTACAACGAAATTTTCGCATTAATTGAGAGACCTTGAAACCAGTCACGACTCAAAATTCTGGCAGAGACCGGGGGTTGGGGCTACCTAGTTATACCCCCCTCTACGTTTACGGTCTCAGTCTGGTCCATAAGTTTTTCAAGTCAACGCCAACGCTGTGCCGAAAAAAAAGGAAACAATAACAATAAAACTAAAAATATTTTCGTCTACAATGACATGCAATTGAGGCGCTGCAAGTCGAGCCGCGACTCGAATGGAATCGCAGGCTGCGGTCTCAGTCTCTACCAGCTCTCAGTCAGTCAATATCTCAGTTGGTCAGTCAGTTAGTCAGTCAGTCACTCAGTCATTTCAGCCAGTAAAGTGCACAATCAGTTCCTCGTTGAGACTTTTCGTTAATAAGCATTCATTTGGGGTTTTACAGGCATTCATTTTCACAGTTTTTGGGTTTTAAAACTTGGGTTACACCTTAATGGTTTTCATCTGAAATTAGTTAAATTGTTTACTAACTTAATTTAATTTGGTTTCAGCTAAATGAAATTCGTATGCATTTATTTATAATCACATTATTTAAATTATTTATTAATTTTTATATATTTTCCTTATTTTTCTTTTTAATTTTACATTTTTACTAAATGACTTGTTTACTTTTTTTGACCACACATTTAGTATATTTCCCGGAATTAGTCATAAAAGAGTTTACGTTTGGCCTTATCTCTGATTTATTTTTAAATACTCTAGGTTTGGGAATTTTATTAAAAAACTGAGTCAATCAGGGGGTAATTCTGAAAGGTTCTTGTATTTGTTATACCCTTATAAAGGGGTTTGCCCAATAATTATAAGAAAAGTAATTAACAATCACACAATTACTACCTTTTCGAGAGAATTTAATTCAGATTTAAAGCTAAATTTAATTATTTCATATACTTTACAGTTTACTCAATAAAAAACTCTTACAATTTAGGAAATTTGTCAATTAATTAATTACTTAATTAAATTTTTAGTTAGACTTAAAGATCATGTTTTTATAGGAGTTTGATTTTATTTCCTTATAGATGCTTTTTTTTAAATATTACCTAAATTAATGACATAATTTCCTAATTGAAGAAGATCTTATCTCCCCATAAGGGGCTATCTCCTCTCCAAAGCTCCCTCTTATCTCTAAACTATCCCAAACTACTCTAGTAAAGTCCCTTAAAATTATAATAATTTCAGTATTCACTCAAAAACTACACCAACGCCGAAATCAACAAAATAAAAGTCGCTCAAAAGAACAATAATAAAAAAAAAAAAGAAAAACCAAAACAAAAAAGTGCATGTGCAACGGTGGGCTGCGTTCCGTGCACCGTTCCCTCCGCGCCAATCCCGCCGGAATGGAAGTGGAGAATATAGCCGGCTCGGATCGGCTCGGTTCGGCGCTGGCCGCCAGTTGCATTTCGAATTTCGAGCGGTGAGTGAGCGCCTCGAGTGCCGAACGCGGGCTAAAAATCGAAGCCCACAAAAAAAACTACGAAAAAAGGAAACAACAAAAAACAAATTCCACACACAAAAAACTACAACAATCGTTGCAAATTTTTACAAACTCGAGAACAAAATGCTGCTAAAAAAAAAGCAAGAGAATAAAAAACTACAACTGCAATGTGTGAAATTCTCAGAGAGCGTGTGCTCAAGTGTGTCTCTGGTCTCTGTGAGCGCTGCAATTAAAAAATGCACTGTACTTGCTCTTGGCCTTCCCCTTAAAAGCGCTCAAAGCTATGCTCTCTCTGTCGCTCTCGCTAGGAGCCAGCTTCTTGGCCACCATTTTCTTTTTTTTTCGCCTTTTTGCTCTAGCTCTCTGTTGGCCAATTTCGCTTTTAACGCTTTTTGCCGGCTACGAAGCCATGAATGAAGCCAAGCCGGCTCCGCTCTCTGCCGTTCGCTCTTTGGGAACGCCATAAAAAAACTCACTCACTTTGTTGTGAATGCAATTTTTTTGTGTGGTGAGCGAGTGCATCCGCTCCTGGACTGCATGGCAGTCTCAGCTGCTCAGCAGCTCCTCAGCTGGCGATGGCAGGCTGGCTTTATTGTCCGTCGGTTCGAGCGGTTCGCTTCGGTCACTCGCTGTGTGCTGTGTGTGCTGCGCTTCGGAAACCGATTCCGATTACGATTCCCAGACCTATTCTACGGTTCTCCCTCCTCCATCCGATTCGGTTTCGGATCGGCGTGCTGTAAGGCGGCAGCAGCAGCAGCGTTGCAGTTGCAGCGCTGCCGGCTTTGGCGTTGACTTCGGCGTTGCGTCGCTGCTTCTCTTCTGGCTGTCGGTGTTTGTTTGTTGTTGTTATTGTTGTTGACGTTGGTCGCGGTATGCAATTTTTATTTACAGTGAACACTGTCTGGCATAGAAAGAAACTAATTTTTAACTGGAATAAAAATTAATAAAAAAATTTAATTGTAAAGTCCTTTGAAAATGATCATTTCCGGTTTAGTTTTGTCATTTTTTTTTTAATGTATTTTCCTTGTGAAGAATGATTACTTTGACCAAATTCATTTTTGAATGAATATGCTAAGAATTGGCACCCATGAGAATGAACTCATTCATTCCTATCTTCATTCGTGAATGAATTTCAATAGATCCTGACGGGATGAACATTTCTTAACAAAAGGATTTCATTTCCAATGCTGACCAAATTCACAACGAATTCAGTAATTCAAAATGAACACATTAAAATTCATTTTATTCATTTCTACCAGAGTTCGATAAAAGAGACTTTTAGAAATGAACACTCTGTAAAGTGATCCTTTTATCAAGAATGCTCCATGATGTATAAGAAATTCCTTTAATAAATTTTCATAAGTAATATGTACATTCGAACTTATACCAAATAAATCCTCCCAAATGAACTTTCATAAGGTAGACTAATTTTTGCTTATGCCTAATGAGTTTTTAAAAGCTTATTCATTATAGTTCATATTACTGACCACTCACTATATTTTCCCCACAACAAAAAAACAAAAACAACGAGCAGCCAGAAGCCGAGGAAAAACATTTTACGTGCGTTTTTCTTATGACAACAAATTTTTTAGTTGACACACGCAAGGAAAAAAAACAAAATGCGACACTGAATTTATACAAAAATTGCTGAAAATGTATGCAAAAGTGCTGTGACAACCACAAATAACCGTAATAGTAAAAAGAGCTTAACAAAAAACAAGTAAAACGCCAAATAACTATAAACAAAGTCCAAGTTTTTTATCATATGTATGTCAGCGAGACAAAAACCAAAAACAGCCATAAAATATTTACCTAAATGAGTTTGTAAATATTGGGACAGTTCGAAAAGAAAAGTGAGTACAAAAATAAAGCACAAATTTATTATTAATTTTAACACCATATCAGACCGAAGGAAAATGTGTAAAAAAAAATTCAAATTCATGACTCGCAGTTTGCGTGAATGACACGTACATTATTCGGTTTCTTTTGTGAGTAAAATTAATGTAATTAAATTATTTTCGATGTCGTTATATTATTTTTAACCATTTATATTAAGAGCTGACTGTTTTATTTTATTCCTATTTTTAATATGTAAATATTTAATAATTCACTGAAGTAGATAACTTATTCATGTAGTTATCTTGCTCTTAAAAGTCAACTGTATAAAGATAATAGTATTTTTAGATGAATTCTAGGAATCCCCTAACTTTATGCGTTGATTACAAATATAATTTCATATATATATGTCGTTGTAAGTTCTCTCTGAGGCTAAGAATTTTTCATCTGTTTTGGGATGGGTTCTGCTGAATAAATTGATGACTCTGAATGGGTATGATTCATCTTGAACGATTGCACTGATTTGATCAGCTCGGATCGTGTTTTTTGCTTAGAAAAAATGGCATGTGACTATCCGAGAATTCGGTTACAAAATGCAATGATGAATACAAGAAATCTAAGATTATATTTTATTATTAAAATATAATTTTTAAATGAATTCAAAGGCCATATTACCATAGATGAAACTCTTTAACGATTTGTAAATCCACATTCCCTTCAAATTAAAATATAAACCTTGCTATAATTGTACAATTTATAGCCTTAGATTTATTTTTCATTCAACTTAATTCTCTAAATTTAATTCCTAAAGAAAATCTACAGAATTTTCCATTGGTGCCAGAGAACAACACCAAAGCATTTGGAAGCCCAACAAGTGCCTTTCATGGCACACCTCCCCTTTCATCACGATGTGCCATATTTGCTTTCACAAACACTCATTCAGACACTCACCCACACAACCACGATGGGATGGCCACAATGGGCTTTCCTTTATGAGACACAAAAAACGGAATTCACGGAAATCTTAACAGGCAATTAATGCGCAAATATAAATGTCAACTCGAAATTTATTGAATTTGAATGCATTCAAAACAAAAAATAGAACAATTAAATGAAATGAAAGAGAAGGAGAAGGAGACAACTAAAGTGGAAGCGAATTAAATGCTAGAGAATAATAATAAAAATTTCTAATTAATGCGCTTCTAATTTCAAGTTGACAGACGGAAAACGCTGCCTCTGATGCTTTTATTGTTTCTATATATTTTTCACCAAGTGCTACTCTCTTTGTGCACAATTGCATTTGATTTCGAATAATTCATTTTGCGGCGATTTATGACACAGTCCCGCTGTCGCTGCCGCATAGACGCAAAAAAATAAGACAATGAATCAGACGATATATATATATATATAGTTACATATACAGACTGAAGTCTGACATCCACGCCCACGCGTGCAATTTTCTTTTCACTCGCCACGAGACCAGCCGTTGTCCTTGAGGCTTTTCCGCATTTCCCGACAACTTTTGCAGCTTTAAATTGCGCCAGCAATCAGCGGCGACATCCCCGAGATGGATTGAAATTTAATTTCATGTTCTCAAATTGATTTGTGCGAAACCCCCGTTTCCCCAGAGCCAAGGCCCATTAGTCATCCCCACATCTGGGTGGAAGAGGGGTGAGGAGGGAAAAGCTGCCAGGATTAGCATTAGACTGGAGAGTGCCACAGGCAACATGCAACAAACAATCATCCGACGAAGGCTGCACTCGGAGAAAATTAAATTGTTTTAAGGATATAAAAAGGAGAAAACAGATATACAAATATGAAATTAACTAAAACATCTCAATTTTTAAGGTATTTAAATTAATGTATCATTTTTTGTAATTGTTTAGTTTTTAACTTGAATCAATTGTTAGGCAGGAGGAGGTATAAGTTAGGAGGAGCTTAAATTCCTCTTCGCTCAGTGCAGTCTGTCACTTTGTAGTTGTATGTGTGTGTCTTTGCTGCACGTAAGAAACGAGTTATTGGAACAGGTTCATGACCTTGACCATCAACACAAGGCAGCAGCAGCAGCAGCAGCCGCAACAACAACAACAGCAGCAGCAACATTGGCGGCACAACGGCAATTGCAACATCTCTGGCCGGCGCTGCATTGGCCTCCTCCTAGGCCAGACAAAAGGAAGCGGCTGTTGCCGCTGTGGTTGCATCTGCATTTGCATTTGCCATTGTTTGCCTCGTATTGGATTAGATGTTGCAACAACGACACCACCGGCAGCAGCAGCGGCAGCAACAAGTTGCCGCCACTCCGGGAAGTCGGGCAGTAGTCGCCATGTATTTATCGTCCAACCAGGGAGTGACTCATACTCCGCAGGGCCGGGCCTTGGGTTAAGGGTTAGACCTGGACCCTTGGGTAGCCGTGATTCATTTGCTGATAGGTAAATTGGCTTGCTTTTCCGGGTATAGGCAAAAAATTAAATAAGCAAAAAATGGTACATAGATTATGAATAAATTGAAGCTAAATAAATTAAGGATTTTAAAGTTTGAAATGTAACTACTTAGGCTTAAGTTGAATTTAAATAAAAATTAATAAAAGAAGTGTATAAATGTTTTACTTAAATATAATAACGTATTAATATATTTTTAAACCTACAACTTAATTTCAAAGTTAGTTAGGTATAAATTATTTTTAAAAATGTATTGTAGGTCTTAACCAGAATTTACTTTGTTTTTTCCAAGATTATTGTGAGATTTATAATGGCAAACCACCAATATTTTTATGGAAAAACTAACTTTGTATGGGTCATATTATTAATTTACTATTAGTATACCCTTGTAGGTTAATATAATTTTAATAAGAAGTTTGCAAAGCAGTGAAGGAGTCATTTCCGACCCCATTTTCAGGCATTCCTAACAGAACTTGATGCATTTTCAACCTAGTTATGATGTTTTTAAACTTTGATTATCGTTTAAATTTATGGATAAATATCTATTTAAATAATTATAATATTTCCTATATTCTAGAAAGGTTTTATGATTTCATTCAGTGAATTTTTGACTGCAAGGGTATACAAATTACGACTTCCCAAAGATACATAGCTGCATTTCTTGTTATACCCTTGCAGGGTATTATAATTTCAGTCAGAAGTTTGCAACGCAGTGAAGGAGACGTTTCCGACCCTATAAACCATATATATTCTTGATCAGCATCAACAGGGGAATCTTTCTAGATATGTGAGGAAGAAATCGATTTTTTGGCCATTTTTGCAAAATTTTATAAGGGGTAACATCATTAAAATTAGCAAAAATTTTGATTTCCTAAAATTTTAAATTTGGTATGCATTTTTTTTAAATTAATAAAAACTAACACAAAACTGCTTTCCGAATCGAAATTAATGCATTTTTGGCATAGTTATGATATATTTTAATTGTTACCTGCAAGGGTATACAAATTACGACTTCCCGAAGTTAGCTGCATTTCTTGTTTGTATTTAAAATAAAATAAAAACAGACAATATTAACAAATTACACAACATATTATGCAATTAAATTTTACAAAAAGAGTGTAAACATATCGGCAGAGAAATAATAGTTGTCATACATTATGGTTTTGTTGGTTTTTTCGCCTAAGGTGTTTACAAAATCAGCTGAGCAAATATTTGTATATTTTCCGGTTTTAATTTACTCTAAAGGAAATTGTGCTTGATAATTTGATAATAAGACCATAACAAGATACAAAAATTTATAATTATGAAAAAGGAATTTCCTTATGATTAACATAAATATTATTAAGGATTACATAAATATTTAGCTTTGCAAATTAAAACTTGTACAGATTTTTCCAGGCAGGAAATCTCACACAAAATGGTTTACAATAAAATCCGGCAAAGCTTAGTTGGATTTCAGTATTACCCCGGGAAAAGCCATGAAAAAAAAATAAACTGTTGCGCTGCTTGAAAACTGGAGAAGGTGGGTGTTTTGGGTGTGCTCCCTGAATTGGGAGGCTTGAGGATTTTTTTGTTGCTTATTTTTTCGTTTTTCACTTCTTTCTCGCAGTTTTTTTCCAGCTCCTTTTGCGCCACTATATAGTTCGGGGGGTGTTGTTGTTGGTGGGCGGTGGGTGGTGCTGTGGGGTGGCTAGGCCATTGGAAGTACACTGGAAGTATAGTACATAAGCAAGTGCAACAGGCAGTTGTTGTTTTAGCTGGCCGAGGAGATTGGGTTTTTCTCGGGCTTCTTTTCACATAGAAGGCGTGTCCGGAATCCGGATTGGGAAAATACGAAAAAAAAGAAGATGGGGGGACTGGCTAAAAAAATGTTTTTAATTTAACTTTGGCCATAGTGTCACCTTATCTCCCTTCTACTTGCTAGGTAGGCAACAGGTGGCGGCCATAATACAATGGTGGCTTTTGTGTCCAATATTCCTTCCTCGTTCCGCATTTAACTCAAAAGTTTAAGCGGCCAAGTCGACCTTAATAGAGCCAATTGTGAGGCATTTGGCATTCCGCGCATTGTTGTCCGAAAACAAAATCGATATTTTCCATATGCATAAGCACAATTGAACAAACAATTTTAGGCGTCAGCAATGCCAAACTGCCACACTGCCACACAGCCATATATTGTCCTTGAGCTTATCACCTTTTCAGCACAAAACCAACAACGAAATAAATTCCAACACACAAAAACTAGTCAGCCAGCCAGCAATATTCGCAAATATCAATTCACCTGTTCTCACACAAAAAAAGAGAATTTAAAACACAAACGCCGGACAAATATTTTTGTATTAATACTTACCATACAAGTTTTTACTTGGGCTTCAGAGTTTTTTGTATATTTTTATAATTCTATTCTTTGTTGCATCGAAACACAAATGATTTTTCTTTATTTATTTTTAAAAACCATAGTTTGTCTATGAAAAGCTTTGTATTTTGTATATTCTTTAGCTTCAGTATGGTTAATTTTTGATAGGGGGTTATCTTAATTAATTTTTTAATTGAAAGAGGATTTAAAAAAGGCTTAAAAAAGT